ATGTCCCCAGCCGGTCTCCATACAGGAGGTGCTGGAGCCCCTGAGCATTCTCGTGGCCTCCTCTGGACTTGCTCCAACAGCTCCATGTCCTTCTGATGTCGGGGACATAAACAACAATGTTGTTCCACTGCCTAATGCCCAACCTGACGCGATAAGTACCAACAAGCTTTAGAAGTTTCTTGCATGTCTCCTAAGGCAGCATGACAGGGGAGGGGGAAGCTGCATTAAGCAGCTACTTCTATATTCTCATCTGCTTTCTACTCATCTTCTTCCTGTGAACCCAGAGCGCAACTCCCATGTCCAGCATCCTGCTGTAAAGAGCAGTGCAAACAATGCACAGGTGCCTGAGGCAGCAAGGTCAGCGCTGCCATCTGCCACCCAGACACTATGGACACCACGCAAGGGAGCAGCAGGCCCCAGAGCACCCATTACCTGGGCTCTGTGGGTCAGAAAAGCCATCTGGGCTGCAGGACCTGGCAGGAGAACACTCACCAGCAACTCCAAATTCCTTCCCACAAGGCTCTTACCACTTGCTCCTGCGGTTGCGCTGGTTGGGCCGCACTCTGCTGGGGCTGGGGCTGCGGCGGGGCTGGGGCTTGCTGCTTCTGCTGACCTGCTGCTCCTGCTGTCTTCTGCTGCATTGCTGCCTGCTGGGCCATCAGCTGCTGCTGCTGCTGCTGCTGGTAGTAGTTCTGCATGAGCTGCTGCTGTGCTGGCGCTCCTTGCTGCATCACTGGGAACTGGGAAACAAGCAGTTGTTGAGCTGCTTGGGAACTGGGGTACCACCACCACCACTTGGGGTCAGCCACAGGAATGGACAGAGGCACTGCAAGTGGCAAAGCACTCACAGGCTGTGAGCAAAGTCGTGGTGGGAAGTGGCCTTCTGACCTAATGACAGATGCTGAGCTACACCCATATGGGGCTCCCTCAGCACAGACCCTCCTGTGGTCCCAAACTCCTTTCTCCACATTTATCAGTTCTAAACCTTTCCCCAGGATAGGCAGATTTACCATCCCTTTGCTTCCACTGTTAAATGTGCTTTAGCAGGGATCTCTGCTGCTATGAACACCTCTAAACAGTATGCAAGTCTGTCACCTACACCCACCCCATCTAACACATCATGTGTCCACAGGCCTCCTTATCACTGCTGGCTACCACAAACCCAGACCTGAACCTTACAATTCAAAAGGCATGCCAGGCTCCTTGTATCACAAGGAGAGCAGAAGAGAAATTGCACCCCTCTGTTCATCAGCTGAGCACTGACCTCAAGACCCTGAAACACTTGGAGCTGTAAAACCTTAACCAGCACTGCTTATTTCATGTTTGTGTGTGACAAAACTATCCCAAGGCCTTTTAACATTAACAGTTAAAAATGCCAGCCTTGTGTAGCAAAAAATCTAACTAGAGAACTGCAGACACATTGGAAAATGTCCAAAACCTGCACCTTCTCCCCCCAAAAACCAGCGGGCTTGCCCTAAATGCAAAGATGCGACCTCACGAGCACAGTAAACATGCAACAAACACAGCTGAGCACATTTACCTGCTGAGCCTGCATCATCTGCTGCTGCTGGTAATAGGCAGCCTGCTGTTGCTGCTGCTGCTGCTGCTGCAGAAGCTGCTGCTTCAAGAAAAGCTGCTGTTGATGCTGAGGTGTGGCTTGTGGCTGGGTAGAGGGGACCTGGGGCTGTGCCTGCGGCGCTTGCTGCGGAGCCGGCGCCTGCTTGGCTTGTGGCTGTGCTGGAGCCTGCTGAGGTGCTGCTTTCTGCTGGGGAACACTAGCAGGGAGCGAGGGCTGCCCACTGCCCAGGGCAGCAGGGCCTGCAACTGGTGGGGAAAGAGACACCAGAGAGCTCAGTTAGACCAAGGTGCACCACAGCCCCGTGGGAGTGCCCAGGGAACATCATCTCACCTTGTGGCTGAATGGCTGCTTGAACCGTGGGTCTCTTCCTGGGTGTCAGGGCTGGCTGAATGGGCAGAATTCCAGGGTTGGGTTGTGTCTGTCCTGCTTTAGGTCTCTGGCGGGGTGCTATGGAAGTTTCTGTTGTAGGGATGGGATCTGTCAGCCTGTAAGGTAAGGAATGAAAGGAAGAGTGGTAAAAGCACAGTCTTTGTTAGCCTGATAGCTGGTGCACGCAACACACACTAGAGGTTTGGGATATGTGACTGATGATGGTGACATCCAGACACACACACTGACTCTTTCCAGAAGGCTGCAAGCACAGTAAAACTGAACAGATGCATCCCCAACAACTCATCTAACACTATTCTTTTGACTACTTCGCCAACTGTGGCATCTTCCCCTGCTGGACAGCTGGAACCTGTTAAAACCACTCATTCAAATACCTGATACAACATGTTGTTTAAATCCACTTAGAGTTCTGCATGAAGGGCATCACAAATTAGCTTAAGAGCAGCTGGTATCTTTGGGCAGAGTTATCTAAATTGGCATCTTTAGAAGTACCTTGAGTCCATCTACCCCAGAATCAGGTCACTGGGTCCCTTCCGATCTCTGCTCAGTATTCACTGAGCTCCAAAAATGCACACAACAAAGCCAAGCAGCCAGAGACCCCCCTGCCCTTCTGTGCATTGCTCATTAGGTATCAAGTTGTTCTACTAATGTGACAGTAACTGCACTCAGTCACAAAACCAACCAAAGCAGACTCCTGGCACTGACAGGCAGGAGGAGAGATTCCCTGCTTCAGAGCGAAGGAAGCTGCTGGGTTTGGAGAGCCCGCTGCTGTGCTGCTCACTTTGCACTAAAACAAGGGGCAAGTTTTGTCCAACAGAATTTACAAGTCTCAATTACAGTATCATAAGCAGAGCAGCAGCAGCAGGAGAGGAGAAAAACCACAGCACTATAGTGGTTTCCCCACCAACTGGGCTCTTCAGATGGATGGAGACTCCTTGGGCTTGTGTCCCCCAGAAGAAATTATAGGGCTCTTGCAGAAATCACAGCAATTTCATACAGAAAGTACTGGGTTTTATCATCTGCCAAGGGTCAAACTCTAACAGCAACAGTCCCTCATGCAGTTTCTCAGCAGACTCGTGTTCCTTGGGCCAATTCCAAGCCCACTGCAGGCCAGCTGCAGTCTTCCTCCTGACTTTGCTCTCAGGTACTCCGGATGGATGACACACTAGATTCATCTAAGTGCATGAACCTCAAGTGATGCTGTCAAGCAGTGTCTCCAGTACAAAAACCTAAGCTGTTGAGTCATGCTGAGTATCACCCAAGTCCTCCCCGTGCAGAAAGATTTCCCCTAATATCTGCATTTTCTGCCTTTCAGATCAATGTGATCAATGGTTATTTATGTCACTGAAGCAGAACCCTCAGGACTGCAGTGGAGATGTAAGCCCCCAAGGAAGCAGCTAAATATACCAGGCATCTTTCCTAAAAGCAGGAGGACAACAGACACTAAAAAGGGCTGAGCATAATGCAGATGTGGTTACCTGGCCTTGGGTTGACTCTTCTTTGCAGCAGCTTCACTTGCTTTAACCGGGTCTGGGAGTTTAGCGGGGATTGGAGAGTTCTGCAGATCCCAAAAGCACCACATTGGGTGTGAAAAGAGAGTCAGAAATCACTTGCACAATGAAACAGGGAGATTGGGGGATCCCCAAAGCAACTATCCCTCATGCTGGACAAAGGGCTAAACCCCTCAATGTTAACGCAATGAGGAAATAGGAGTTTGGGAGGGACTTTACAAGGGAAAAATACAGCTCTGTGTTTTTGACATGTGGACACAAAGCTTCATAGCACAACCTGGAGACAACAGCAACAATACTTATTAATACTACCATAAAAAAATACAGGTAGAATAGTACCATAACACCACAAGAAAATACTTGTCAACTCTGTTCTTCTATTGAAGTCTATAAAGATACACTAAGAAGGGGCAGATGGCTGTGGAAGGTCTGGTGTAGCTCAAATGGAAGCAGACACAACCTGCTATGTCTGAACCCAACTGCAGCACAAATTACACCCGCTATGATGAATGTGCCTGGAAACCCAATCAGCTGCACAAGCATGGCCTAATTTTCCACGTTCACATGCACAAGATCTCTTGCTTGACCTCACGCTGGTAACTGGGTGAGGAGGTAAATCAGGGACAAACAGAAATACACGACATATGAAAGAAAATCCTGATTCCTGCCCTTATCCCCCCCCCAAAAAAATACCCCAAAAGCCCAAATAGCTTTGCTAATTAAAAAAGAAAGACCCTCCTAATGTCAGAGCTGGGGAAGAAGTGGCAGAATCCAGCAGAATACTCAATATTCAGCAAATGGTACCCCCAATCTCCTCCCACAAAGCCCTGCATCAATCCACTCCTTTGCCACTCACCTGGACGTTCTGGACTGGGCATTCCTTCTTTGCCAGTTTGAATGCAAAGTAGGAGACCTGATAAATATCAGGTCTCTTATCAGGGTCTGGCTCAAGCATATACCCTTTAAGAGACAGAGATGCTTAACATCAGAGCAGCAGAACAGACAGGTTCATGTAAGCCATCTGTGGCAGCGTATCAGACTAGAGATAGGGAAGGGAGAGGTGGTAAATGCCCCATCCCTGAAAACATTCAAGGTCATATTGGACAGGGCTCTGAGCAACCTGATCTAGATGGCTCTGTTCATGGCAAGGGGGTTGGACCAGATGACCTTGAAAGGTCCATTCCAACCCAAACCATTCTGTGATCCTACATTTGGCATGACTGATGCTAACGGGGTGCTCTGCCTCTTAGGAAGGGCACCTGAGCAGGGCCGAGCTGGTCACCAGGGGCAGCTCAAAAAGAGGCAAGACAGAGTCAGAACAGACTAGGATGTACCTTCCAACACAGCTGTGAACAATCTGTAGCTGCTACTGAAGGCTCTAGGGCAAAGGGAGGAAAGGAAGCCAGCCTAGTCAGGGAATAGCACTGGGTTTGACTTCTGCATTTCCAAGTGACCTTGCAGGAAAAGAGCTTGGTGCAAGGCTGGTGTGCCAGCAGGGCAGGAAGACAGGCCAGCCACATCCACCACTGCATATCCACCCCACCACATAAGCAAAGAAAATACCAGGCTGCTCTGCAAACACGTCCAAGTCTCTATTAGTCAAGATTGTGGCTAGGCAAAGAAAAATCAAATCAGATGCTGTGCTGGAAACGAGAGAGCTGCCCCAGCTTTGCCAAGAGCATTGTCCCCTTCATTACACATTCACTCTAGTCAGTGAGTTATTTATAAACCATTTCAGTTCTGTTTCTCAGTTCACAGAAGATGAATTCTTATCGCTCGTCTTAAGCCACTGTGGTTCCTTTCAGTTCCTTATCCAAACAGATTTATTACTGGAGAAATACGTTTCTACATAAATAGGCTTATTGTGCAAGTTCCTGCAGGAGTCCTAAACCAAATGGTTGTCTGTTTCCCAGCCTTTCCAGAGCTCACGACTGCCTGGCCAAAAAGAAACCTCTGTCAGAACTGTCTTTCGAAGAGTGATCCCTAAACTGCTTTAACCAACCTTGTGTGCAAGGGAGTGTCTTCAAAGAAGAGAAACACCAACAGTTTCAGTGGAGGAGCAGGAAATACAAGCATAAAACACTTGAGCTGTGCAGAAGGGGATTAAGCCACTGTCAGAGAACTCACGGATGAGGCAGTGCATGTCCTGCGAGTGCCGGGAATTATCTGGAATGGTGAAGTTGCCATCACAGATTGCCACCTGACTCTCTCCAAAGGGCAAGGTGAAGTAACACAGCTTGTACAGCAAACAGCCAAGGGCCTGAAGAGACAGAACAGAGCAAAGGATTTAACAGACTGGGAATGGTACAATTCAAATACCCTTGTAGATCAGAGGGGAAAGTCTCCAGCTCCATCCATGGATCCCACATGGCATCAAGCTACATTTTAACAGCCCTGTGAGGGACTTGGAAACAAGCAGAGTTACACAGGTAGATAAATAGAGAAGAGCTCTCCCCCCTCCAGGCTGAGACACCGCAACCTGGGGGACTGTGTGAGCAGCATCACACGCAGAGCTCCAAATACCACTATACAGTGTGACCATTCACGTCATGAAACAGGCAAAGCCTGTTTCTGCCACATGCTGGGAGGAAAAGGCAAAGTAATAGCAAAAATAACTGGTAACCATCACCCTTAATACATGTTTTCTGACACAGAAAAATCCAAGCTGTGTTCAAGCTCAAGTTCAACCTTTCAACCAACATAAATGTGTTCCAGGGAGAGCTACACCCAGATGGCTGCAGGCTGCTAGGTTCTACCACCCTGCCATCCCTTCCTGTGCTGCTTTTGACAGCAAGAACCACCACCTATTGCAAAAGAAAATCCAAGATTTGCACAAAAGGCTAATTATGAAACACTCCCACCACCTCAGAGGGGAGAGGGGGAAACGTTTCCTCATCCTAAGCAACTCAGCAGCAGCTTCTATCTTTTGTGATAGGATTTCACAATCAAATTGCACTCTGGTTTAAAATAACCTTGATAAGATTTAAGGAGAGGGAGGTTTCCAGCAGGACAAGCACTGCAACAGGCCTTGAAGTCGAGGCCCCACTGTGCAGAGCACCACATGCTGGTTGGGAAACACTCAGTGGGTTACTGGAACAAAATCCCTTCCATGCCAGGAAGAGGAGAGCCTTTGGGTCTCCTCCTATCCATGTTGTCACAGGAAGAAGGGCATATCCTAGATTCTTCTCTGAGCCCCTGACAATCCTTCCATGCTGTTATAGCTGTGAGCCCCCCTCCAGGGCTCTAACCCCAAGGGGAGTGACCCAGCACTGCTACAGAGCCTGGTCCTACAAACCTCCTGCTGGACCCAGCAGAGCAAGAGCCCCACAGGAGCTGCTGCTTTCCTGCCTCCGAGCTGAGCTCAAGAGAGGACAGAGGACTCTTCCCAGCCATTTTCCCTCTTGTATCTGCAGATGCAGAGCTATTGAGGATACATTAAAACTCTGCTTGTACTGCTTCTGCCTTGTTACTTCCTAGCTCAAGGCTTCCTAAACCCTACAAACATGCTCTGAATTTAAACACCTCCCATGTGCTCAATTGCCACTTGCACTACAAACAGCACAGAGCTCATCTCCAACCCACCTAAAGGGAAGCCATCCATCCTTCACCAGCTTAGCCAGGAATGGATTACACCCCAGTTGCATCTTGCTCTCAACATGAAAAGCACAGCAAGACTCCACTGATCATTAGAAACAGCAGTGCAAAAGCTTGGTCTTTGGCCAGGTTTGACAAACTAACTGTGGGACACTATCCACAATAAGCATTCTATTGCTCCTGGGGGAAAGGTCTGTTTCCTACTGAATTCTGAGCAGCAACTTTGCTTTCACAAGCTTGCAAGGCAACTCAGGCACAAGTAGTCACAGTCCTCTGAATTTCCTGTTCCAACTCAGGATATAGAAGCAGGTTTGCACCCTTCAGCCCTGGGCTTTCATACATCTCTAAATGAAAACCACACTGCAAGTAGCATGCAAAGCAGCACACGTTTTATCCACAAGTCACCCTACTCAGCAGTAACTGATTGGAAACATCAAGCAGAGAAACTCTGTACTCAGAAACTGCCCAGTCTCTTAAGGAAACTGGGTTAGCCCCAGTCAGAAAGTTACCCTGTCATTATGGTAATGAAAACAAGCTGCAGTCTGGTTGTATGATGTTAAGTGGGTTTGATACGTACCCATATGTCTGCTTTTGTAGTAATAAGTTTGCCACTGTAGAGGTTGACCATTTCTGGTGCTCTGTAGGATAACGTAGTGTACCTGTAAGAGAAAGCTCTATCAGTGAGTTGGAAATGGCTCTAAGATGCATTTTCACTGGGTCACATTTCCAAATAATTCCAAAG